GTCAGTTCTGTGTTTAGCCAGATCCATTTGAAGTAGGTATTTAGAGAGTGCTGACACTGCTCGCTTCCCACTGAGACACAAGGGATGAAACTCGTCTTGGTCTCTTCACTTGGTATGGCTGAGTTGGGTTTTCCCGATACAGGTCAGAGCCCTGCATCAGGGAGCAAACCACAAATGACACTTCCAAAGGTAAAGTGTGCAATACTATCACCTATCACCAAAATATGTATGCTTTAAAATACCTTACTACTGAATGATTGATACAAATTACCAGTGGCACACAAGTATCAAAACTGTCAATAAAAATGTTTGAAGTAAAAAATTAAATAGCAACAAAGAGTGAAGATTCAAAGATCAAAAAATAGCCAATGCTAGAAATTATTGGACACACTAATCTCACAACAGAATTATTTAAGCTTCAACCAAAAGAGCATTAATCTTTAATGGAAAATATAAAGTACACTAGAAATTATTTCTCGAGGTTGATGCTTGATTATGAATTAATATTGTATTTGATGATTCTTTTAGAATAACTGAGACAAACACAATAAATATCAAGTATCCATGAATTAATATATTTACTTTGTCTGAAGTCTATCTACACAGCTATGCTCAGTCAGCCTAAATAGAGCCCCAAAGACCCAACTCTTCTGGACTGGAAGCCCATCAACATTTAAACAATGTTTTATCCGTTCTTCACTATGACCAGGAGCCTACTACCAAGCTCAAGAGAAATGTATTTTGGAGATGGGTAAATTTTCAAATTTCATGAAAACCATCTTTCAAATTATCAGTCACATTGTATCTACTTTTCACAAATGTGCTTCTGATTTCTCCCCAGGAGCAGTAGAAACTTCCTCATTTCCAAGAGCCATTTACCTCATTCCCTTTTCCTTTCCCCCTGTTCCTGAGGAGCATTGACTCAGTAGGTCATTCAGGCAATTCTTTCATTGGCATTCTTTATTACGGCAGTTCCCACGCTGCTTGATAATGTACTATTTCTCTATATTTCTATTCAATCAACCTTTTGCCATCACCAGCATGCACACATACACAGTCTGCGGGACACTGGAAAGCATGCACTGGTATCTTTGTATATCTATCATTATCTTTGTGTATCATCTATCATTAAATAGTATTTGGAACATATATGAAGCTCTCAGCAATTGTGCAGGGAATGAAAGTGAATGGAAAAGTGAAAGGCATGTAGAAACATCTCTTAGCCACTTCCCCCATCTGATGTAATGGCAGCCAAGGACAACTGATGTCCCCTCTCGCTATGGAGATTTTTAATAGTAAATGCATTCTAATGTAGAGTTGTATTTAGACATGGAGTCTGAACTTCAGGAGAGGGTAACTCAATAGCAATGTCAACTAGCAAGCATGGGCATTATAGTTTGGTCCTGAAGTCATCGTAATATATGAAATCATACAGTTAAAAATGTGCAAAAGGTAATATTTCAGTCTCAGAATTCTGAGGACCATCAATATTATTGATAAGATCTTACTAAGTAAAACTCAGACACCTGAGTGAGAGCTGGATTTGATAGATGCAAAAGGGAGAAGGGGTATTGGCCTCAATGCAGATGTTACAAAAACCTGTTGGCATTTCTATTTTTTGAGATAATAAAATCAGGCCCCTAGGCTGACATGCAATATTTGGGCATAAATATCATCTCTGAAATATGCCATTGGTCTGTATTTGGGTGGATTGCTTGATTTTTCAAGAAGACGTTTTCTGTTCTGTAGCCTATTACAAAGAGTATCTACCTTAAAAGTTATTTTAGACAGTTTGATATAATCCTCAACATAATGGTGCTAATTAGGCAGTAAAAAATACTAATAAGGAGTTTTGGTGGTGCTGGTGGGTAAGCACTGGGTTGCTAACCGCAGGCACCGATGGTTCAAACCCACCAGCAGGTCAGAGTGGAAAGATGAGGCTATGTGCTCCCATCACACGGTCATTATGAGATGGCATCAACATGATGGTAGTGGGTTCGAGGGCCCAGCTACTAATCATTATTTCAAAAAAAATTTCCTTCTAGACATCAAATCCTGGACTGGTCAAAACATGTTTTTCCCCTTAATTTTCCATAAACCTTAACTTTTGTCATATTGTCAAGTAAATGGGACCTTACCAATATTGGAGTTGAAAAGGAATCCTTTTTAAACCTCATACTGTGTGATTCCAACCACCCTCCGTTTATAGACAGCACTAAGCGACTTCCTCATCTCCATAGTCATTTATTTAAACATAAGCTGCTTAACAAAGCTTTAGTATATATTTCCAAATAGAATTTTAGCCCCTTGCACTTACCAGAAACTAGATTCTCAATATATCTGAGGTAAGCATGAAAGCCTCCAGTTCAATCTCCGCTTTATCTACTTCAGTTTCCTTCAGGGATGTAGACTCCTGGGAGCAATAGAAAAGCTGTCACCGTCCCCTCCAGGGATTTTGCCATAAATTTACACAAAAATGGTTGGGCTTGGGGCTTAGAAATAAATTCTCAAGTACCTGGGGCCAACAGAAGCTAAAGGCAAAGTATAAGGTCAGAGAACCCGAAAACTCCTCAATGGTAACTAGTGTTATTTCTAACAAACTACAAAGTGATACAAACCTTAATAATATATTAAAGTAGAAAAGGAACCAAAGGGTTAACTATTCTCTCTCACCTTGGGCATTATTCGCATTATTTTGAAATGGCTTGTTCTTGCTCCTGTTTCAGGCATACGAAATAGATTTCTCATGTCATTAAATGACTTTTCCTAGCATGAACATCTGCATAAACCATTTCTGTAAATGTGATAATCTATGAATGCTTGCTAAGCATAAAAATTACTGAGCACATTCTTAGAATTAGAGACTCTAGTTTTAGAGCAGATCCAGTACCTTGATGACCTAGGAAGCAGTCAGGTGTCACTTAGCATGCTAATGCAATAGGAATCATTGAGGGAAAATCCAGGAAGAAGGAAGCATACATGATATGTCCTGGTTGACAGAGGAAACTTGATATGTGACATTCATGATGATAGGACAATACAATCTGTTTTTAAACAAAAGCTGTGTTTGTTTTTTGTTTTTTTGTTTTGTTTTGTTTTGTTTTTGAGTTTGTTTGTTTGTTTGTTTAAAACGAAACACTTAAAAAATTCTGATTCTAGGTCCTGCTACTTTACATTTCTGTAGCTAAGATTGATCGTACATAAAAAGAAAATAAAAATACACAAGAATCAAATATTTATTAAAATAATTTATGACCTCTAAAATGTTTATCAATGATTTCATTTCTTTGATCCATTTCTGGATCAAACATGAGGTCTTCCTCCAGGAGTGGGTTTCTCCTGACAACACGTCCAAAGTATGTGAAACAGTGCTCCTCCTCCTCTCGAAGAAACATCCCGGCTCTACTTCTTCCCTGATGGATCTGTTTGTTCTTCTGGCAGAAGAATGGGAATGCCAGATGATTGCAGGTGTTTTCACTCAGTATTCTTTGCCAGCATCTATTTCAAGTGTATCCGTTATTCTCCA